AGTGAATCTTAGCTTATGGTTCAGAGTTAAGGGAGTGTAGCTTTGAACTGGAGCCTGTTTTTGTAATTAGATGTTAGAAAATAGTTTTTTGTTTTGTTTGTTTTGCTTTCTGATTTATTGTTTTGACAGTAATTTATTGTTTAAGATAGTTCTTTCACTCGTCCCCTCACACTGGCTAATACCTGCACTTTCTCACACAGTGATAGACATTTAGCTTTGCTGGATTCATACTGCAAACACCGTAAATTCTACCCTAGTTTTCTATTTTAATCAGCACATGAAGCTCATCATGTACATATTCACTTTAAGCTACAAAGGTTTCATTTCTGCATTTTCCACTTATTCACACCTCAAAGCTGCTGCACACTGTCAAAAGAGTATGAATGCTCAATCACTGAGAATGTGGACACAGGAGCTCTGAGATGTATCAGTCTGGAAAAGCTAACTTACAGCAACACAGACAAGCAGAAATGTCTCGTATGAACCTCTTATGAACAGCACAAAAGCTGGGAGTGAAAAGAAAATGTGGAAATCTGGTGAAATCTTTCAATTTTAATTTTACTCTCTCCACTCGTGGAACAAATCAGTACCGGGCCGAAGGCAGGGCACATGACCAGGCCATTTTACTTACATGCCTGTAACAATGGGGCTTTGAAGCATTACTGCACATTTTACACACATTGATGTCATTTGGAAGTCAATCAAATGGACATGAAGTCTAACAAACCAAAAGAACAACAAAAACACTGGACTACTTTTTTTTTTTTTTGTTCAGTGTAGAGCCGTTTTAGTTTTGTTGTTTACATTTTTTCTCTTTTTTGTTTATAAAATTTTTTTAAGTATAACATTTTTGTATAGGTCTAAGTTAACTTTTTTATTATAATCTGCACACTGTGTAAATGATGAGTGTACTAATTCTTCTTTGTTAGCTGTGCTGATTCTATGCTGCTGTAACACTACAAATTACCACACTGGGATGAATCGAGGTTTATCTTAACTTATAAGAAGTCAAATAAAGTTATTACTCCCTAAAAATCCTCTCTTTGCTCTGATTCGGGGATGGGACATGAAAAAAGGATTAAATTTGCTTTCTTTACTAAGATGAATCAGAGAGACCTGAATGATCTGTTCTCATTTAATACTTTTTAAGATCCCTCTACCTGTAACTTTTTGTCCTGCTTGATTTATTTATGATTATGATTGACTTCTTTTCCTTTATTATTTGTTTTCAGGGTTATAGTTATTCTGTCTGGTACATTCTCAAAGAGATTTTCAACCCCAAGAAGTTTAAATAAGGTTTAGTTAAGATGTTTTTTTCATGTGCCCATTTATCTAAACATTTTGCACCATAGAAACCCAAAAAATGAAAACACCTTCTTAAGCTGGCTGCAGGAGATTGCTGTAGACTTATGGAAACTGAAGCTGAATATGTTTTCACACTGGAGGAAGTTTTGTATGAATCACTGAAGAATTCAATCCAAAGTTTAGTGCCAGCTAAAATAAAACAAAATCTACAAACAGATTTTTATGTATTTCAAATTTCTTTTTAATACTGTAAAGTCTGATTTAATTTATTCTCGTGCATGGCCCACAAACTTCAGTTATATTCTTGAGTTTTCCACTTTGTCAAAAAAGTAAATACACTCCTTATCTGAATTTCATTAACCCCTTAATCTGACATGTTTCTGGAAAAAAGAGAAGAGGGCTGACATCTGCAGTGGTGAGATTGTTTTTATTTTCATAAAGCAATCAATGTAGTGTATATATATATAAGATTCTTTTCTATAAATATAAAGGTTCTCTTCATAGCAAAAAAAAAAAATTACTTCAAAGCTGTGACTATTGTAGAGCCGTCAACACAATAAAAGGATTATTATGAACTGGAAGCACTGTGTGAAGGAGCATCTGACAAGAACATAAGTCATCAATGTGTGTGTGTGTGTGTGTGTGTGTGTGTGTGTGTGTGTGTGTGTGTGTGTGTGTGTGTGTGTGTGTGTGTGTGTGTGTGTGTGTGTGTGTGTGTGAGCCGTGCTGCACTGACAGCAGCCGCTCTGCATTTCAAAACAAGGCGTCCTTTCTCCTGCAGTGGAAGACATACAAGCTGCTGGCTGCATTTCAGTCCCACAGTGCAGACACACAGCTACGTTCACCGGGATCAAATCACTCTGCAGAGTCTCCTCTGCTCAAACACTGTCACAATGTCCACATGAAGAAAACATGTCAGGGACAATAAACCAGGCAGAGAACTTGTAACAGACATGTATGATGTGAAAACACTCCCATTTTTTTGATAGAAACATAATTACAGTGCCATGAGGAAGTTTGGACTCCCCTACAGCCAGTTTTCTGGACAAGGAGAAGAAAATAGCCCAGAATTGAAAAAGTACAGCCTCCGTTCTGCAGCCCCCCCTCCTCTCTGTGATTCTGACCAACCAGACAAGAACACGGCAGCATATGCAAGAGCCACATACACACTTACTCATCACTATGTCTGCTGCTTTTATGATCCTTACCAACAGCTGCAACACACTTAGACAGAACAAAATAATTCCTCTTAAGGCTAACCTGCCTGGGAGACAAACAGCAAGGTGGAATTAACATTTCTGAAACGGTTTGTGGATGCTGTCAGGTGTTTAGTGGCGCTTATTCGCCATAGAATCAGACCGTCATGCTCATCTGCAGTAGAAAACAGCCAATAATGCACGCTCACTCTTTCTAAAACCAGATGTGATTGGCCAAAGTCTCTTGTCACATGCTATGGAAAAAAAAGAGCCAGGAGGAGATGCGGAAGTCTGCTTTTCTCCCACACATCTTGAATTACAATATGCAGAGAGGTTATTGTTAAGGACACCAACTGACAAAATGAACATTAAATCAAAATGATCCATGAGGGACTTGGCCATTTTTTTTAAAAATCAAATAGATGCAAACCTATGAGGATGATTTAATACATTCACAAAATCTAATCTTTAAGTCACAATCTGTGAGCATGAACTGGTGATGCAAAGTAAAGGGAGGGATGATGATGAAACCTGAACTACCTCGGCCTCACAGCTGTCAATTTTCTGAAACTGAATCTTTGCTACACCCCAAAAAAAAAAAAAAAAAAACCTCAAATTTTACTGATAACAGTTCTTGTTTTTTACTGGCAGTAAAGTCAAAATGATTATATCTCTGAATCCTGTTTAAACCTGCAGCTAAAACCTCAATGTCACAGTGTCAAAGAAGCATCAGCTTAATCTCTGGTCTTGCATTTATTGATTCATCTTCAGGTATTCAACAGCTCACTCGTTCTGACCAACCATCCGAAAAAAAAGAGACATTTTTCCCCCTTTCAGATAAATCCCTCACATTTAAAACGTAAAAACACTTAAGTGATCGGCCTTTATTTTAGATTAATAACTTACTGAAAATGAAAACCATCACAAATAAAATTACCGGCTGACTGTCCTAATATGTATGCCTACATACATACATATATATATATTTCACCAAGTTCAATTAAATGCATGTTGCGAATAAACTGGGCAGCAAAAAGAAAAAAGGGCATCCAAAGATTTCACACAGCACTGTAGACAGAAAAATGTTCAACACACACTCTGAAGTCTGTACCCTGGTTCATCTCTTAACATTGAACTGCTTTTTTAAATCAGAGCTGAAAGAAACACCCGTGTTTTTGCATGTCTTACACCCTGGAATCACATGTGACTAAAATTTGTGACTGTGGTCTGTGGAGCAGGCAGCTCCTCCTGCATTTCACTGAAATGTTGCCGAAATTCAATTTAAAGGGAAAAATCCTAGTCATGTGAAACTATTTTTGAAGGATAGCTGTTTTGGAATTTAGAGATAACATGCAGATATTAGACAAGTAACGAGAAAAGGCTCTTTTTTTTTTTTTTAATTCAGGTACCGAATTTTATAAAAACACTGCCGAATTTTCACATCTTACTGTCCGTTAAAGCTGGACTTTCACTCCCATGCATTATGTGGTGAGTATTTTTGCCATGACCCTTCACAATATTTGACTTAAACAGCAGGTATCCATCACCTTCACTGCATTATCAAAAACTCTGCCTCAGTGATGTGTTTCAAATCAAATCATCAGATCTTTGCATAAACACAAGATATTTGTTCGATTTGTCCAGGTCAGAGCTGTGAAACTGTCATAATGCAGAAAAACTACAATCATTTAGTAAACTCCTGATGATAAGGGTAAGAGCTGTTTCCAGTTGTCTGCAGGAAGATTTTTAACCGTGGTTAAAAAAGGGAAAACGTTTCCCATGTGCTAGAATAAAAAAAACTATTATAAAAATAATGCTATCAAAATTATTCAGAGCTAAAACATGCAGAAACATGGCATGATGCTGTATTTGTGATTCTGTGTGCTTTATTTGGAAAGGAATGTTTTAACTGTCGGGCCCCAGCGTCAGGCCACCACCATCTGTCACAATGACTCACATTCACAATCTGTGCACCTCTTCTTGTCCCACACTGCTGATACTTCCCTTCAGAACCGGGCAACTGCTGCTCGACTGTATCACAGACACAAAGCGCAGCTGCTTAATCAGGATAAGAGGGAGCCACGAGGAAGCACTTGGGTTTCACGGGACTCTGCTCAGAATAGACCCAGAGCTCACAGCGGCTCACTGATCAAAGACACCAGCTCTCCATGAGAAATACTCCCAGTGGTGTCCACAGTAAGTCAGGTCATAAGACCCCAGGATCCTTGACGGTCAGCTGGCTCCTGGTGTTCACTGAGTACAATTCCATTATGTCCAAAGTATGAAAAAAAGTGTTCAGTTTTTTTTTTCGTTTGTTTTTTTAAAGTATTTTTTTCATCTTTAAATACAAATATATACCTACAAAAATTCACAAATGTATCTGTACATTAAAAAACAGTGTCTCCTGGAAGTCCAAGAAAAAACAAAAAAGAAAAAAATAATAAAAGAGGATTATCATTCAGTTTGTCTCTAAGCAGTCTGTGTGAGGGTGAAGCTTAATTACACAGTGGTCTCACCCTGTTTGCTGTTAGCCAGTCTTGTATAAAACCTCCTCCAGGAATTGAGGGTCTTACCAGACCAGATCCAGAAGCCAGAGGTGATGCCCACAATGAGCGTCATGAGATACTTTATCATGAAGACGGTGAAGTCAGGGCTCATGTTGGGATGGTTCTGGATGGGGCACGGCACTGCGTATGTTTTGCAGGTCTGGCTGATCCACGTCCTCTCCCACTGCTCTCTGAAGGCCTGCTCGTAGAAGAAGCACGCAATGACAATGGTGGCTGGCACAGTGTACAGGACGCTGAAGATGCCTATCCGCACCATCAGCTTCTCCAGCTTTTCCGTCTTTGTGCCGTCGTGCTTCATGATGGTCCGGATGCGAAACAAGGACACAAAGCCTGCCAAAAGGAAGGATGTCCCAATGAAGAGGTAAACAAAAAGTGGCGCCAGAACGAAGCCTCGAAGAGCATCCACACTGTTGATGCCAACAAAGCAAACCCCGCTTAGCACATCTCCGTCCACCTGACCCACAGCTAGGATAGTGATGGTCTTTATGGCAGGCACAGCCCAGGCTGCTAGGTGGAAGTACTGAGAGTTAGCCTCGATAGCTTCATGGCCCCATTTCATTCCTGCAGCCAGAAACCAGGTGAGGGCCAGAATAACCCACCAGATAGAGCTGGCCATGCTGAAGAAATAGAGCATCATGAAGAGGATGGTGCAGCCCTCCTTCTTGGTGCCCTGTACAACAGTCCTGATCTCATTGTCAAAACTGTCATTGCACACCACCTTGTCCTCCAGTAAAAAACCTGTGATGTAGGCAATGGACACCATGGTGTAGCAGCCAGAGAGAAAGACGATGGGCCGCTCTGGGTAGCTAAAGCGCTTCATGTCCACCAGGTAGGTCAGCACTGTGAATAAAGTGGAGGCACAGCACAGCACAGACCAGATCCCGATCCATATCCGGGCAAATCTGAGCTCCTCCTCACTGAAGTACATCATCCCGTGAGATCTCTTTGGCTCACACGGAGCTCCGCAGTTCTCCTGCCCCAGGAAGCGGTAGTTCAGGTAGGGGGGCACCCTGAGTGAGGCCGGGCACCTAAACTGTCCGCTCATGGGATCCGGCACTGTGCGCTCAGTGGGGTCCGCTATAGAGCCGTCTGGCTCTGTGCGGTCCGACATGTTCTGCCCCACGCACAGCTCTCCTGCACCGTGCACGGGGAAAGTCTCACACGCGAGGCTGTCGGGCCACTGGAAACCGAACTTGTTCATGAGAGCCTCGCAGCCTTGACGCGCGCGCTCGCACAGAGAACGACACGGAGGCAGCGCTTGCTCAAGCACGGTGCACACAGGCGCATACATGGAGCAGAGGAAGAACTTTAAATCCGGGGAGCACTGCACTTTCACCAGCGGGTAAAACTGGTGCACCTCCAGCCCCGCGTCCTCCTGGTTAGTGTGGCCCAGAAGGTTCGGCATGATGGTCTCGTTGTACGCGATGTCCGTGCACAGTGGAATGGAAATGGGCTGGCAGAATCCATGCTCCGGTATAGACATTCCTCGCTCCCCGCCGCCGTACTGCCCGTTCACTCGGAAAATCCCCACGTTTATGAGCAGGATACCGAAAAATAAAGACAAAACTGCGCTGAAGAGTCTGTTGTGAGCCATGGTGAGGGACTTATCCACCACTTCACATCAATTTTGTTGCCGAACTAACTTATATTTCCTCGCCAGGCAGCAGGCTACTTCCTTGAATGTTCTTTGTTGGCGTCTCTTTGCGGGGAAAAACAGCCTCTTCCACCTGGATTCCTCCGCTCCTTCACGCCGTTTCTCTCCGCACAGAGCTGATCTGATAAGAGGACTAAAAACGGCAGAGATTTCTCAAACAGAGTCCGGTGGTTCTCAGGTTTATCCAGAAAAATAAAGCCTACTCCTCCAGGAGAAGCTGCTCCGATATTCTGTCTGCCAGACACAGGGTTAATCTGCCGTTCAAACCTGTTCTGCTCTCCCTCACTCCTCCACAACAAGGTCAAGCAAAACACCACACGCGTTCGCTTCCTGTGTCCCTTTCCAAATAAAAGTCCCCAATCAGTTTGCACCACTTTAAAAGATTTTACCCATTTTAGTGCTGAACTTTTGGTATAAAATGAGCCTTTTGTAGTCACTCCTTACATTGAAATAAAGGAAAATAAATACATTTTAAAGATTCTCAAAAACGTTCTTTTTAGAGTTGTCTCGACTCTAAAGTACTTTGCTAGATTCTCTTGTAGTGAAATATGTACTTTAAAATTGATATGAATAAAAATCATTCATATGTATTTCAACTCTGATTTGCTCCTGACAAATTTCTCAGAGGGTGGGAGGATTGTAGCGATGATGATTAAAATGACAAGTTCAGTGGCTTAATTAATAATTAGTAGGTCAACTGTCACTCAAACATCTACACCACATATAAGCACTAGACTGCAAGATCAATATTTTCCCTTGAGCCACATTTGCCACACTCTAGTAGGCAGGTAATCTGTTTACCTTTGAACACAGAGAGCGGTATCTGTTCACTTAGACAGGTACTAGATACTAGTTGATTGTTATTTACAGTTCTTGATTTTTTATAAGCTTTGTTTTTCCATTACAAATATTTAACAAAATTTTTGGCACAACAGAAAATATTTAGTATGTTGTCTGAAATTTCTAAAAAGCACAATTTTTTCCTTCTTCTGTGTATAGCAATTTGGGCTACATTGCCCTGTACAAAAAGTACAATAAAAATAAAGATTGATTTATTGATTGATTGAATTTATAGTATGATTAGAATCCAACAAACTGCAAGAATACAATACTTTGTATAAATCCAAATAATAAAAGGGGTAGTACAGTCAAATTCCTTAACTTTACACAAACAATCTATATTAATAATCTGTATTATAGAAAAAATATAAAAATCAAGTAGACTGCCAAAGCTTACAATTTTTGTTATCAATCAAAGACACCACTAGAGGAATATTTACAGTTACAAAAGCAGAATCAAGAAATCAGAAAGAAAACCCACTGCGCAATGCACGTCGAAATGACATCTATTTAACGTATTTTTTGAAGATGAGGTACAAATGTAGACGTCATTTCAATGTCTAAAAAAGGTCCAATAATGACGTCTAAATCTTGGATCCATTTTGCACATTGTGCCGACGTCTAGATTCAGTCTTCAGATGATGTCCAAATTCTAAACGTCAGAGCGACGTCTAAAAAAGGTCCAATTTGGACGTCAAAATTTTTAACCTATTTTGCACATTGCACTGATGTCTAGATGTGGTCTTTGACACACCGACCCAATACTGACTTGATCTGCACGTCTCTTCGATGTTCGATGTTTGGTGGGAAGGTGAGGCTAGGTCTTTGGCCATCGAATATATTTGTAAAAATGAACATGAACAAACATGAACACAAATGAACATGTTGCTTGAAAAACATTTGAATGAAAAAAAAATTATTTTTTTTTAAAAACAGTATCAACAGTAAAAAGATTATGTGAGTGAGTGAGTGAGTGAGTGAGTGAGTGAGTGAGTGAGTGAGTTGAGTGAGTGAGTGAGTGAGTGAGTGAGTGAGTGAGTGAGTGAGTGAGTGAGTGAGTGAGTGAGTGAGTGAGTGAGTGAGACAGACAACTGTAGTGCACTACAGTGATGGGAAGAACAGTTCTTTTGACTGTACTGAATCTTTAGAATTCGTTCATTAAAAGGATTTGTTCAAAAGATTCGTTCATTGAACGAGCCTCTCCCCTCCCCTGCTGCTGAAGTCACAGCATCGTTCACTAGGTGACACAGGTCATTAATTTGCCAAGTCCTAAAGGAAGAATCATTCCCCTGCCCTGAAAAACTCTCCTCTCTGTGAATCGCCGTCGGCGAAAATAACAAAGCAGCAAGCAGCATGCCCGCTTAACAAGCGCAAGTCGTCGTTCTTTTATATCGCAGAAAAATGGAGAGATTAAAAATAAATAAACATGGCAGCTGTAGCGGGGAATCTGCTATGTGTAAAGATATCAAATAGCATATTGCTTGAAATCAGCTGAAATTAAATCCTTCTTGCAGGAAAGTTTATACATGTGTATTAATGTAAAGGCAATATAATGCAGTGTTTAATCTTAGCCTCAGTGAATAAACCGGTGTCCAGCAGTAAGTGAATGACACGACACCCCCTCCCTCATCTACCTGAACAAAGTCATTCGGAAGAAGTTCGTTTCATTCACCATGTCATTCACTGACTGTTTCGTTCACATACTGATACATGTCGTTCACTGACTGATACAGGTCATTCACAGACGTTCCGTTCACTGACTGACTGAAACATGTCGTTCACTGACTGTTTCGTTCACTGACTGGTACATATAGTTCATTCACTGTGGGTGAATCATGAGACTCCGCGTGCGCGCTTGCTCGCTGGCCGTGTCTCGTTTGCCAGATTCAGGGGTGGCAGTTCCACTCCTGACCAGCATGCCAGGCTCGCGGCTGAGCTCAACTGAACTGAGAAAGGAACAAATCAGGTCTCGGAGTGATTCAGTTCACGTCCTTAACCCAGCAATCTCGTTCCTTTGAACGAAACGTTCATGAATGACACAACACCAGTGCACTACACGCACTACACATGGTGCATGTCGGTGACTCCAGTTGTTGTCCACGCTGTGGTGTCTGCCGTGCTGCCATCAAGGTGAAACAGTGTGCAGGGGCAGCAGAATAAAGCATTTGCTGTTTCACAGCCAGCTAGCCAGGTTTTCCGCTAGTGCCAGCTCTGTGAAAATCCCCGGTTATATGATTCCCTCCCCAGTTGAAATTTGTTTGATATTTAAATTTGATCTGGGGGATCCCAATTGTTTGGTTGCCAATTTATCCTCATTTCTACGACAACTGAACGATTGAGTTGCTCTGAACACTTGCTATGCTAACCTTGAAAGGCACTGGCATGTAGTGGCTACGCCAGCTATCCCTATGTTATGTATGACAAAAGCCTGTTGGGGCGAGACCTCCCAGAACCCATAGAGATTGTATTGTAACTCCAAAAATTAAAAAAATAAAATAAAATTACATTAGAGTCAATGGGGGCACTTGGGGCAATTTTCAGCCTGACCAAAATCACCCCAAAGGGTTGGTTCCTCATGGAGCATTGCCTTATGATGATTGGACAGTCACACAGAAGCTCAAACTGTCTAGAACTGTCACAACCACCGTAACACTGTGGAAGAATATTATAGTGGTGATTTGGGTGTGTGTTGGCCGACCACCCTTGTGGACAAACCACCCACGACTTAAACTAATCAAAAAGATAAAATTCTAATGAAGGTTGGTGAAGAAATATATGTGTTGTTAAAAGAAGTAAAAGTTTCACAGCATTTAAAACACTCCAAAGGATATTTTGTCTGCTAAGAAAGCTGTGATATGGATAGAAGTGGGTGAGTGGATGGTTTGTGCTTACTACAAACAACAACAGCTGTCAGACTGCAGAGACAATTAAAAACACATAAATCTGAATCTCAAACCTGCGTGAGAGTCACAGTTACAGCTGTACACAACCACCAAATACCTGCTTTTGTCTGACTCACTCTGCCTAACTTTACCATCTCTCGCTCTCTCTGCCTCTCTCTCTTTGACTCAGTCCCTCTCTCTCTCTCTTTCTTTCAGCCCCCCCTTTGCACACACACACACACACACACACACACACACACACACACACACACACACACACACACACACTAAATCAAACCTCTCATAGTCAGACTAATGTAGTGTTGTGTCGTTAGTGAAGGATTTGTTCAAAAGAACCAAATATTTTAAGTAAACGTACTGAACCGAATCACTTCCTTCCTCAAGTGATTTGTTTCTCACTTCAGATGAGCTGTCAGCAGCGCAAACCTGCGTGAGAGTCACAGTTACAGCTGTACACAACCACCAAATACCTGCTTTTGTCTGACTCACTCTGCCTAACTTTACCATCTCTCGCTCTCTCTGCCTCTCTCTCTTTGACTCAGTCCCTCTCTCTCTTTCTTTCAGCCCCCCCTTTGCACACACACACACACACACACACACACACACACACACACACACACACACACACACACACACACACACACACACACACACAAATCAAACCTCTCATAGTCAGACTAATGTAGTGTTGTGTCGTTAGTGAAGGATTTGTTCAAAAGAACCAAATATTTTAAGTAAACGTACTGAACCGAATCACTTCCTTTCTCAAGTGATTTGTTTCTCACTTCAGATGAGCTGTCAGCAGCGAAGCTAGTATGGCACGCAGCATTGCCAGGCAAGCAGCCAGGGAACAAGGGACTGCGTGCACTGACGCCTGAATCATTTGGTAAACAAATCACGCATTGAACTACACTCTCTGGAATCATTTTTCAAAACTAACTTTGCCACCACAACAACTAGCATACAATAGGACACAGCATGTAACAAGTAGTGCATAAAAGCTGCAGCATCCTATCATTGCAGCAATTTGTGAGGGAACGATGCATGTTCAGTATGAATTCTTCTTAATGTTCAGTGAACGAATCACTCATGTCGCCACCTACTGTAGTGGAGGCTATAATACCAATCTCATTTCTGGAGGATGGAGTTTCTAGAGAATTGTGACACAGCCACAGCTAAATAAAATCTGCCATACCT